CACTTTCTTTTCTCTTGGTTGCTGATACAGAATACATCGTAAAATTTTATGGTAGTTTTATTCGCGCAGTTCCCGATAAATATTGTTTGTGCTAATTCTGGCTCCCATGGGCACCTATCCCAGTGCACTACCAGACTGCCCGGCGTGGACTGTTTTTGCTGACCATGCATGTTATCTTGCAAGCAGGCATGACCATGTGTGTTATATCTTTATCAGCGGCCCTTGGAATGTTTTGGCGTTTTGGCTAAAATGGCCTGCGTCGATATGGACCGCGGTCGACGGCGCCAAATCGCGAAGTGTCCCACTAACAGCTATCGCCATACAATCGTCATAAAACAGCTATTGCTGTAATAATCTACCGCTCTGAAAAGATGGGAATTCGGTGAAGTTCGGAAGATTATTGATACAAAATATATAACCCCTAACAGATTAGGTAACATAGGACGTGGCTTACCTTGATACTTCCTGCTTCGTGATTCGTTTTTCGGCGTTTTTATCAGCCAGTGTCGCCATCTCATTGGCAGCGGAGGGAAAATAAGGTGCTCGAAACCAGAGGTCGGCATTTTAGGTCGCCTTCACAGCCACACTCACCTAAGCCCCTCACAGCTACACTCACCTTCAGCCCCTCACTCATCCTCATCCTCACAGTCACTCACCTTCAGCCCTTCACTCAACCCGACTGGACCTCACGGCCCTCACATACTCATGGCCCTCACGCCCCTCAGGCACTCACCACCCTCACGGCCCTCACGCACTCATGGCCCTCACGCACCTCAACGCCCTCATGCACTCATATTCCTCACGCCCCTCACGCACTTATGGCCCTCACGCCACTCACCGGCCTCACGCCCCTCACTCACTCATGGCCCTCACGCCCCTCACGCACTCACCGCCCTCACGCCACTCACCGCCCTCACGCCCCTCACTCACTCATGGCCCTCACGCCCCTCACGCACTCACCGCCCTCACGCCACTCACCGCCCTTACGCCCCTCACTCACTCATGGCCCTCACGCCTCTCACGCACTCACCACCCTCAAGCACTCATAGCCCTCACGCACTCATACCATCACACCCCTCACGCACTCATGGCCCTCACGCCCCTCAGGACCGCTTCATATGGGGCAATTTCGCCCAGAAACTTGACGTCGCAACACCATGCAGCAACATGGGCCGCCCACGTTCACACGCAGCAACCAATTGCTGCAATTTGCCATCATCGTCATGAAATTTTATTTTTCTTGCAGCATTTATATACACAATTACGCGCTATAAACGTGTTTTTATTCATTTAAATCTCGTTGAGAATACTAATGCATCTTTCTGAAAGTTTATTTCCAAAAACAATCAATTTCAAACCCGAACCAAGATTTTTGTTGTCATCATCACCGGCACGAGGTATCGCGTGAAAATATTGCGTCCCTGATTGGATGCGGCCGCTTCAAACGTCTTCGAATTGCTCCGAGTTGCTCGCTTGTTTCGAGCCGGACCCGACCTCAGGAAATCATGTTGATCTAGGGAAAGCTAGCGAACAACCCGCCAGCAACACCAAAATTGCTGAGAAAGTTGCTCCGTCTGAAGAGGGCCTCACGCACTCACCGCCCTCACGCCCCTCAAGCACTCATAGCCCTCACACCCCTCACGCACTCATGCCACTTACACACTCACTGCCCTCACGCCCCTCACGCACTCATTTCCCTCACACCCCTCACGCACTCATGGCCCTCATGCTACTCACCGCCCTCTCTCACTCATGGCTTTTACGCCCCTCATGCACTCACCGCCCTCACGCCACTCACCGCCCTTACGCCCCACACTCACTCATGTCCCTCACGCCCCTAACGCACTCACCGCCCTCAAGCACTCATAGCCCTCACGCCCCTCACGCACTCACCACCCTCACGCACTCATACCCTCACACCCCTCACGCACACATGGCCCTCAAGCCACTCAGGCCCGCTTCGTATGGGGCAATTTCGCCCAGAATCTTGACGTCGCAACACCGTGCAGCGACACGGGCCGCCCACGTTCCCACGCAGCAACCAATTGCTGCAATTTGCCATCATCGTCATGAAATTTTATTTTTCTTGTAGTATTTATACACACAATTACGCGCTATAAACGTGTTTTTATGCATTTAAATCTCGTTGAGAATACTAATGCATCTTTCTGAAACAGTTTATTTCCAAAAACAATCAATTTCCGACCGGAACCAAGATTTTTGTTGTCATCATCACCGGCACGAGGTATCACGTGAAAATATTGCGTCCCTGATCGGATGCAACCACTTCAAGTGTCTTCGAATTGCTCCGAGTTGCTCGCTTGTTTCGAGCCGGACCCGATCTCAGAAATCGTGTTGATCTAGAAAAAGCTAGGGAGCAACCCGCCAGCAACACCAAAATTGCTGAGAAAGTTGCTCCGTCTGAAGAGGGCCTCACGCACTAACCGTCCTCACGCCCCTCACGCACTCATAGCTCTCACACCCGTCACGCACTCACCGCCCTCATGGCCCTCACACCCCTCGCGCACTCATGCCACTTACCGCCCTCACACCCCTCCCGCACTCATGGCCCTCACACCCCTCACGCACTCACCGCCCTCACGGCCCTCATACCCCTCACGCACTCATGGACCTCACACCACTCACCGCCCTCACGCCCCTCATGCACTCATGGCCCTCACTCCCCTCACGCACTCACCGCCCTCACGGCCCTCACTCACCCTCACACTCATGAATTTTCCTTGTTCAGAAACTCACTCACCCTCACCTCACCTGTGAAGATAAGGGTGAGTGAGGGTGAGTGAGGGTCCTCATAAGTGAGGTTTGCCGAGGTAGGCTCGAAACTCGTCACGAACCCCGAGTTTCTTCAGTTGTCGAAGACTCTAAGTGAAGCAGTCCGTAGGTGCGAAAAGATTGAGTTCGAAATTTATTTGTAACGGAAGTTAACGATCAATATAACGATTTGGCTAAGGGGTCATCGGCCGAGTTCACTGAACAATACTCGGCCATGTTGTATCGGGCTTTAAAACACGCTGACAACAGAGTTGTTAACCCTGGAGTGTGGTGAGAAGACGGGACAAACGCAAACAAATAGTCCCGTGTTGGTGCTTCCCATTTGAGTTTTAGTCTGTCTCCATGCACCTTTAGCCTTGCTTTCCCTCCAAAACAACGTCTCTCTCTCTCTTTCTTTGTTTCTTTCTCGCTTTCAGTAGTATAATTATGACCTGTTTTCTCCTTAAACTATAGTTATTCATGGACAACATCTCAAGGCATGTCGGTTTAGCTTTATTGCGAGGCTTTACGTGGTGTCTGAACAATGATGGTGTTACAAACCATCAATCCTATGACCATGAGACTCAAGCCTCGGTCGCCCCGATAATACCTCGTACCAAAGACGGTCTGCAGACCTTGACTGCAGACCGTCTTGTCCTTGTACAAACAGCCCCGTCACATCGGTCATTCGAAATATATTTGCAGACATTGTTCTAAGCGAGTGTATGGAGCAGACATGCTTAGCACAGATGCTTGAGCCGTGTCTGCGGATATTTCTGTCTTAATGTCTGCGGAGAAACTCCGTGAGTCTTTCGTGGGATGTACAGAGCGCGGCACTGTTAGCGCGAACAAACGATTGCCGGTTTTCCAGTTTTTCTCTTTGAAACCAAGGGATGTCACCCAAGTCATTATTGTTAGGGAAAGAGCTAATTTAGTTCTACAATGTAAGCGATAAAATTTCGTGCTCGCTAATACTATTTAGAAGTAAAATGCGAAAATGCGCCGATGTCTTGTTCGTGCTAACAGTGTCGCGATGTGTACGAGCAGTGCGGCTGCGGTTTGGTTTCTCAGTGCGTCTGCTTGAATGGGAATGGTAACTTTAAAGAGATCACAGCATTTATTCGCGTAAAAGACGCACCACTGATGAACAAGGTCCTCTCTTCTATTTTTCTGCCGAACAAACCTACAGTAAATCCTGGTGTTCCGCATTAAAAAAAGAAAATGTTCAGCGAAGGATGAGGTCCAGGAGACGATCCTCCGTAAAAATCCCATCTGCCTAGAGAGATCATTTTCGCGTGAAGACGTCATATCTGTATTCTCAATAGCTGTCATCATTCGGTCGATCGATTTGATTTTCTGTTCGCGTGCTTTCATGGAAAGCGGACCCGCAGGTTTTTGCCGTAAGCAGTGCGCCTAGTACTCAAGTACTGAAATAAATTAGGTAATGATGGGGGCAATATGAAATGTTTCCGAGGAATTAAAGAAAAGGTATTTTGTGTAAATAGGGACATCTTAGTTTCGGTATGTGCTGTGTAATGACTCATGAGTCTCCTCCTATATATAACCCTCAAGAACGTTAAGTTTTTTTGTGTGTGTGTGTGTTTTTTTTCAATATGGGGCGGGTAGGTAGGCATTCAACGTTTTTTACAAGTGGTTCATAAGACCCAATCAAAACCAGTAAATGTCGGACCTGTAAGTGAAATGTCTTGTTCCTGGCGTTTATATTTGTAGTATTTATTAGTATAAAGTTTTCTCATAAAAATCTTTCGGGAAATATTACGATTGATTTATATAGTTATCGGCAGAGACGACTTTTTTATTTTAAGTAGTTTTGCCGATCACGTTTGAGAGAGGGCTCAGGGCACGAATGTCTCAGAGTGCTGAAACTGTGCTGTCACCTCTAACATGAACCTATTCAGTAGGGTCCACAGCCGGCGGCCCCAATGAACCAAGTAACATAAAAATACAAATAAAAAAAAAATGTCCACTTTGAGTGTTGGGAGTTAAAGGTCCCACTGCTAAACCACTATGCAAAAAGCGGTCTGTAAACAGTGCCTGAGGCGTGTTCCTTCCTTATATGGCCGGTTTTGTCAAATTTGTCAGACAGTAACTCTCTTTAGACAGGTTCGAAGCACACGTATGTATGAAGCTAATAATTCCGACATCATGTCATGCGCTCCATAACGGCCGCCAAAGGTACCCCGAGTCATGGTGGATGTTTCACTTACGATTCCAAGAATGACCACACACCGCGCCTTCGACTTCAGCTTCGACACCTCCATGGGCTGTTCACGGTCCTGGTTCTGGTTTTTGTTTTTGCGTAACGACCTCACGAAGACTTGGTCCCTCAATCCGACGTTCACACACTCGCAACTTCATCGATTCGAAATGACAGAGTTGGAGACCAATTCGAGGAGCGAACTTGTAACTCAGAGAGCGACTCGCCACAACGGTCACTCCAGCTACACTTCAGATCGGCACTACGCTTATCTTATCTCGCGGGCGTTCTCGCGTCAACGGAGAGCCGAGTCGATCCATAAACAACGAGAAGAACGCGGAACGCTCGGACGAGGGCACTTGTGTACGCGGAGCTGCATGCTCGCGGTATACGCCTGTCCTGCAGCTCCGATGAATGCTTCGATGAGTCAGGTTCAAAGAGCGCAACGTGAGGCGGTTGCGCCGTTGCGCTGCATTGGGTCCCGTCGTCAGCAGAGATCTGCTGCTTCTCTCGCCGTGGAACTTCGAGACTTCGAACTTCGAACTACGGCGCTGCCGCGGCGGCGTCTACAATAGATGACGGGAACGGCGGCTGCAACACCCATTATCACCCGAAAGACGAGGCCTTTTCATGACATCATCGTTTGTGGTTCCCCGCAGATCTTGTCTCCTAGGTGGTATGGGCCGTTGCATAGAAACGCCGCGGCCAACCTCACTGAGTGACGGGGTCAAGAAAAGGCGGGATGGACAGTTTGACTGGACACTGGGTCCAGACGAGTGTAAGTGGATGTTATGTGCTGCTATAGTGACCAGGAGGACGGTTGTTTGTCTGACACTGCTTCTTTTCATGAAACTTTAGTTGCACCTTCGTTATAGAGGGTAGTTAGAAAAAGATACAAGAGAAACAAGAGTGCTTCTTTTTCTCTCTCTCAACTCAAAGCACGCCTGCTATGCCAAAAGTAAGTGTTCTTTTTTCTTGCGCAGGAGTTGCGGTGACGTCGGAACAACGTCCAGTTCTGATTGGCTTTGATTGAAAGGATAGTGGGTAGACCTCAATGCTAGATGCCTGGAAATATACCCACCATTTCTTCAATCAGCCAATAAGAGCTCGGCGCACAGGGGTATCATCGCAACCCCTGTGGCAGGAAGCAGAAGAACTGGCGCTCCACACTGCACAGCGAGCCGGACATAACAAGCTATACTTCGTCTCACTTTATAGTCTGTCCGTAGTCGACGCTACGATCTTATGAAACTATAATCGAACAGCGTCAAAAGTACATCGTCGTGGCGCCCGTCGTTGTTGTAAATTTGCCATCTTCACCGGCTAAACCGATCGAGCAAAAAAAAGAAAGGCAGGATTGAGGACGTATTTATCCTACTGATTGGTGAAAGACGCCGATAGCAAACGCACATATAAGGTGAGCTGCGTGAGGACGCACGTTTGTCGCCGCTTGATTCGCTCCCCGTAGGATCGTATACTGCTGCGGTCGGATTTAAGATGAGACAAAGTGTAAAATATTTCTGCAGAGGCGTACAGTTATGCGGTGCCCACACTGTGGTCACTAAAAACTTAAGAAACTCAGGGCGAGGTCCGTACCCGTTGTGATCGCTCACAGCCAATGGGGTTGCTCCATCGGCCGATACAGAGAACGCGCCGAAGAACGAATCACATAGGAAGGGGCGTGAACCGTAAATAGCCGCCTCCCGCCTTTCTAAAGCAGCGTAAGTCTAGCACAATATATATATATGTATATATATTGTCAGGAAGGTTAAGACGACGACGGGGCAGTGGCGCGCACGGCCATCTCGCGCCAGGCCCCACGTGCCAGCTCGGCCTCCATAAATCGTTTTTTGTCTGCTCTATCATCGTGTACTGTCCTGTCCTTTCTACTGCCGACAGCATCACCCTAACAATATATATATATATAAAGTTGAAAATCCCAAGTCAGAGAAACAAAAACACGGAAGGTTTATTCAGAAATAAACCTTCCGTGTTTTTGTTTCTCTGACTTGGGATTTTCAACTTTGTGTACTCCACGCCTTCGGTCAACCCTACGCGACCATGCCCTTCTCTATATATATATATATATATATATATATATAACTGGAGAAGAAAAAAAACATTAGTGAAAACAGCAACAGCGGACGATTTATTCATATATATATATATATATATATATATATATATATATATATATATATATATATATATATATATATATATACAGAGAGAGAGAGAGAGAGAGAGGAATAAAGAATATAGAAGTACAATAGAGGAAACCGCGACGAAAACAAGCGAACTTGGAGAAACACACGCGTCCAAGGCGTTCATCCGGGTCTTTCGCGCGTTCCTAACCACCCTGTAAAGAGGAAATCGCCGGCAGCCCTTTCCCTCTTCTTTCTTGCCCTCTTTCAGTAAATATATAGACCGTTTTACTGAAAGAGGGCAAGAAGGAAAAGGGGAAAAGGCTGCCGGCGATTTCCTCTTTACTGGGTCGTTAGGAACGCGCGAAAGACCCCGATGAGCGCCTTGGACGCCTGTATTTCGCAAGTTCGGTTGTTTTCTTCGCGGTTTCCTTCATTTTATTTTTTCTTCAAGATCTAATTAGAGCTAGCGGAATAAATCACGACAATCCCGTTGTTATTGGGACATCCTTGGTCGGTAATATTCTGCACAACGAACTACAGAAAGCGCATAATATTATCGGAGGACGTCTGTCTCCCGCCCTTGATCCGACGAGGCCACTGCGGCTGAAGTGCCTTCAAACTCCTTCGCTTTACAAATGACCAAAAACCTCCGGAGGCAGGGGGTTGCGACCGTAAACAGAAAATACGTTTCCCCGACACCATCCTCTCGAGTGTGCTCGGAACATTTCTCAACTCTAGCGCGCGTCGAACTTTCCGCCGTACGGTCGATAAACATGGGCTACGCTCGCAAGGTGGGCGCAAGCTTTCTCGTGAGAAGCGCTGTTTCAGCTTGTAACTTTACGTAACTTAATTTATATTAATGCTGATATCTTGCAGTGGTGACACTCGATTTCATCTTCAACGCTCAGTTGATGGCTCATTTCCGCCACCTGTTGTGGCTGGAAATCGTCGAGAAGTTAGTTCTATCGGTTTTTCTTAAACACTATCTCCTGCGCGATTGCAGAGAGGCGTGAACTTATGTTGACCGTCACAACGCGACGGTTCTTCTTATTTTGCAAATTAATACACGACGTAGCTAAAAGGCAAACTTCAATTTTTATTGCTGAAACATGCTCATGCATCGATTTCGAATCGTCGAATTGTTGATCGACTCGCTCCGGCTGTGTGCCCATCTCGACTTCGATGTTTTCAGTTCTAGAGCAAGGACACACTCATCGACACGGGATCCTCAATTAAAACTTTTACAAACATCTGCAAGCCGGAGAGAGTTGCCTTCGATCTTATCTCGCGCGTCCTTGGGGACGTTATATTTCATTGTTGTGGAGTACAGGAAACGCCAAACATATTATATGTGTACTGCATCTAAAACAAAAAATAAAACCTGGAAGGAAACTTATTTTGTGTTAATTGGTACATTATTTTGAGTACTCATCTTGGATTTTTATCGGTGGCACGTGTGCTGCTTTTCTCTGCATCTCCGCACAGACGGATGCCGCAATGCGGAGCAAGAAACTTTCCCAATCAGTTGAAGAACTTTATGCGCCAATGTTTCTAACCCCTCAGCATGCAACAAAATAAGCTGGTAGCCTAGTTGGCTTGACATCCTAAAAATATTAGCGCGATAGGAAAGGGACAAGGGAGGGTAGGACAGGACACGCGCTACTTTGAACTGACGTTTTAATAAAAAGATAAGAGAAGAAAATTACTAAGATAAATTTATATAAAAATATAAAAAATGGAAAAGTAAAGGATTTAGAAAAAGGACTGATATAATAAAAGACGTTAATACAAAATAAAAAAAGTAATAAAGAAGAATTATTTCAAAAATTAAAAACAAAAGGTCCAGACAAAAAAAAATACTTTAGAAATGAAGGAGGCATCGTAGTTCTTTGGGTGACAAGTTCACTGATGACGCGCTTATGCAGGATTCGCTTCTTGCTGCTAGGGCCTTGGCTTCGTAGGTTTCTCTAGTTCTTTTGTCATGGAACCGCCTCAGAACCCCTGCGCTAGCGAACAACGGGGCGCACCCACAGTCCCTCACATGTAAGGTTAGGTGACCTGATGGCGAGGATTTCAGAGAAAGTTCATGCTCCCTCAGCATGATGTTGACGTATCGTCCGGTCTAGCCATAAACGTTTCCACATGAGAACGGTATCCCATACAGAACTCTACCATGACACAGTCTATGTACGTGTGAGCATGACTCACGCTACATTTGTCCGCCTGGTCGCGCCGCGAGTTTATTTTGGGGCAGAGTCTTCTTAGCTTGTCTGCAGCAGATAGCACCCCACCCGGGCATCATACCTGCATGCTACCCTCTTGAAGCTCTGGGGGAAGCTAGTCATGTATGTGACGACCACAGGTGGGTATCGTTTCTCTTTACACGTTCATGGTCGGTTAGGTGTGGAAGCCTGAAGGTTTGAGCCGTAATGCTTGCACATCAAAGCTCTCCGCTACTGAATGAAAGCACGACTGGTAAAGCAACTGGAAGCAATTCCTCTTTTTAAAAGTTTTGCGTGAGCCGAATCGTACTGGAGAAGTCTCTTTTGTGATCCTGGCGAGTATGTCCAGCGTAGAGGGTTACTTTTGAAGGTGAGCCGAAGGCCTAAAAATCGGAAGGTGCTGTTGGTTGGGGCCTCGTGCTGACCTCCCTGGTGCTTTCTCTTTCGCGCTAATATTTTTATGACACACGGCATAACCGCGGAACCTGACACTCGCTAGACGGCGCTACAGTACTTAAAATGGCGCAACGATAAAACGGTCTATACGAGAAGCCAACTCTCTTACGTCACGCATCTGCGTTGGCGCTGCTGCGGGCAGTGCGCACGCGCAGATGCATTGCCTCACGCGCACCTGCTTTCTGTTCGGCCACACCTGCCACGGCCGGTGTGGGCGAACACGGGCTTCTTCGTAAATAGTACGCTGGTGTGTGGAAGAACTCGAACGCAAAATGGTCAACCCGGCACAGCCCTTTCATGACCCCGTGGACATTGTTAGGATGTCATGAACTTTGCGGCCACACTGATCGCACCATCACATGAAACACAGCCT